CTTTATCCTCTGGACTATCTACCCGGACCTTCCTGCCTTCGCCCGAGGAGTGAAATGTGTGTCCAGCCACATATTTCTTTATTTATGTTTTTGTTTTGCCTTACGCATGAAGGAACCGGCAGAGAAACCCAGGTGCGCGGGACCTGGGGCTGAGATCTCCAAGCCTGCTCCAATCGGGACTGGGCCTCCTCCACCCAGACCCCCCATCTTCCAGTAGCTAGGCTAGCTGAGCAGTCACACCCACAACACCCACAAACTGCCCCCCGACACACACCTCCACCGTGTAATCCCATCAACGGCCAAGATCCAGAGACTATAAAACCAAGTTCCCGGACGAACTAGACTTCTTACAGTCTAGTTCTCCCTCTCGGAGAACCTGGCAAGCTGCTGAGAGTATCCTGCCCACACAGCAGAGCCTGGCAAGCTCCCTGTGGTGTATTCAATATGCCAAACACAGTAACAACAATTGGTCTCATTCCCCTGACCCTGAAAGAGCCTCCAATGCGGCACCTTTGGGAAGGACGAGTAAAGAGAGGCTGCTAAAATCTCAGGGCTAGGACGCTTGGAGACGTTACTGGCGCCTGCTCGAGCAAATTGACAAATAACGGGATGATAGGGATAGTGATTTATTTATTTATTTATTTATTTATTTATGTTTGTTTGTTTGTTTTTGTGCTTAGGACTTACTTCTGGCTCTGTACCCAGGGATCATTCCTGGTAGGGCTTGGGGGGGTGGTGATCGGGAACCATACGGGAACCATACCAGGGATCAAACCCAGGTGGGCTGCATACAAGGCAAGTGCCCTACCTGATATTCTATCACCCCCTTCCAGCCCCATCTCCCTCCAGCCACACGTTTAAAGGAAGGTCCTTCTGTCCTGAACGTAATTTCAGGGCTCTGTTGGTCAGTGTGGGATCATGCCGGCACCTTTGAACCATCAGTCCAGAGATCGGTCACCAGATGCTGAAAGGTTGAAGGACTCTGGTTAAAATACTGAATGGGTTAGAGAGATCTGACAGGTATTTTAGGGGGTTATCCCGAGGTGGGGGGGCCCTGAGACAGTGGTAGGGGGGAAGAGCACCTTCTGGTGGAGGATGTGGGGTTGAAACGTTGGAAGCACAAAACCAGACCCCGAATGGCATTGTCCATCATGTACAATGATATAAAAATGATATAAAAAGGAAAAGAAAATACGCTTGCCATGGACTGGCGCTTCTGAAGTTTGTCAAGTTTTGTTGCTAAACTAGCACAATGCTCCAGAGAACTGTGTGCGACAGAGCAGAGCTGTGATGAGCCCGCCGTCCCTGTGGGTTAGCAGTATCCAAAACACTTCCGAGAGTGCAGTAAAACCCAGGCAAACTCCAGGCAGTTGGTGATTTGCTGGAGAAGTAACTGCAACTTTGGTGTATCAACAAACACCCAGGGGCTCCTTTGCAGGGACTGGATGTAAACGCTGTGGTTTTCGAGAATGAAAGTACAGATACTCTGCTGTTCAAAAAAAAAAAAAACCTTCTTAAAATTGATTTTTTTTTTTCTCCATGGGTGCTTGATTGATTTCCCAGAACTGACTCCTCCACCTGCCACCCGCCCCCCTCCGAGAGTCAAAGGATTCTTACTGGATGATACAACATTCCAGTCAAATCCTGAGTCGGAAGAAAACAAATTAAGACCGGTTAGTTCTCTAGTTGGTCCCCCCCCCCCCCCGCCCCCATCCTTGCAGCTGTTATCAAAACCCACCCTGGGAGAATACCAACTAAAAGGCATTCATCCCCGCCACCTCCCTCGAACCAGGGAAACGCTGCAGAGAAGGAAAAAAAAAACCCGAGAGACATGATGGGCCTCCTAGGAACTCCGGGATTTTTATTCATTATATCCCAGCAGCAGGAGCCCAGAGCCATTCCAATGATCTGGGGGAGGAGGGGGGCAGGTAATTACTTGCAAGGGAACAGTATCGGGAAGCACAAGTGGAGGGTTATTTGTTTTCCGCTGCTCCTGGTCCTGATTCCAGGCTGGAGAGGGTGTTCAGGACCCAGCAGGTCAGTTCACTGCCATCAGCGCGGCCTTTTATGCGCCTTGAACTCCGAAGCAAAGTCTGTTCAGCATTAAGAGAGTCCAGGAAAAGAAAGGGGCTCGGGGAGCAGAGAGTAGGGGTGGGGGGAGTGGAGAAAGAATCCTTCAGGCCTGCAGGCAGCTGGCTGGGCTGGGTTCAGGGCTCTCCCTGGGGGATCAGTTTGGGGCTCTCTGTTCTTTCCACAAGAGGAGGAATTGCTTGTAAGTGCAAGGCCAGCCATTTGGGGGTTGACTTGGGTTCCCAGAAATGCCCCAGGGAGATATTATTTTTGGTGAGGGGTCTTCCTGCCTGAAGCAGAATTATTGCCAGAGTTCCGCCCTGGGCTTCAGACCCGGGTAAAATGAAGCAAAACGAAGAGAGGAAGTAGAGTGGACCTTTCTCGGGGACCCTGCAGATGGCACGCAGGGTGGCCCTTTCCCATCATCTCCTTTGGCTTCTCCAGAAGCCAGGGTGGTGTGTGTGTGGGGGGACGGCGAGGTGTGCTTCTACCCGGGGGGGGGGGGGGCTATCAGAAAGCCCAGGGGAGAAAAAGACACGCCTGGGGACAGTAGGTTCATGAAATCATAGAAGTGTATTTTGGGAACTTGCCCCTTCTCCTGGACTGACCTCTGACCAAGACATTCTGTGTTCCTGTTTTAGGCCAAAAAAAAAAAAGTGGGTGGAAGAGGAAAGTTTGGTACTTGCGCTTGTGTGCGTTGTGTCTTAATCATTGATCTCGTTCATTTTTGGGTTTTGGTTTGCAGCCACACCTGGCAGTGCTCGGGGGGGTTACTCCTGGCTCTACACTCAGGAATCTCTCCTGGCGGGGGCTGGGTAGAAGCTGGGTCAGCCGGCCCTGGGTGAGTCAGGCCCCTGCAAGGCCAGTACCCTGCCCACGGTACTGTAATTCCTGGATTTAGTTCTTACTGGTCCTCTCAGCTTTGTGATGCCTGATCTAGCTCCTATCAGTCAAGTTCCTACTTCTTACATCCGTCCTATCCGTTTCAGGTCAACTTTGGAATACAACTTCAGGGGTCAGGGATCTAGTGAAAAGGGGTAAAACAGACACATTGGGTGGACCGGCACAGAGAAAGGGATCAAAGGGGGCAGGTCTGGTGAGAGGAGAGAGGAGAGAAATGGAGAAGAGGGAAGAGGGAGAGGGATGGAGGAGGATGGAGGGGGACACAGGCAGGGTGCAGAGAGAGAGAGAGAGAGAGAGAGAGAGAGAGAGATGCGCACGCCAGGGTTCTTTTGGCTGCCTCAGCTGGGACATAGCATTTAATGTCCAAAATTTGACCTTAACCGTTTCTGAACTCTCTTAACCCTGGAAGCTACTGACAACATTCCTGAAATCCTAGCAAAAGACCAGAGTCGGTCTGTGCTGAAGGCCAATAAGGAGGAATTCAGAACTTTTTTTTTTTTTGGTGGATGGAGAAGGGGCTGACCTTCTCCCAGCTCAGGTCTTCTTAAGACTTTTCAGGCTGCCCCTGACCAAAAAACACCCCAGCCCTAGTGCCCCAGGCCCTGTGTGTGCCAAGGCGGAAAAATAAGCAGCAACTGCAAAAGCCCCAGGCCCAAGGTGGGGGCTGGAGGGGGGGGAAGAGGAAGGGGGAAGAGGGTGGACAGACCAGGCTCTGTGACTAGGAAGCTGGAAATTCCCTCCGGCCCCCAGAGTTTTGCTTCAAGCGACTCCACTTCCCCAAAGCACCTTCTGGCGGGTGCCCCGCATTTAGGTGCTCCCCCAAAGGTCTCTTGAGACCCTGGTGACAACCCTCCAGTACCAGGAGGAGTGGGGCTCTGATTCTTAGGGTCCGCGTTCAAGTTCCAACGCATGCTTTCAAAGTGAGCCTTCAGCAGTGATGCCCTGAAGGTGGGGACAACCCCACCCCACCCCGGGCACCTTTCTGCCCAGGCCTTTAGGTTTCTCTGGGCTGAATTGGCAGGGGGGTGCAGGAGATTGGGGGGGGGCGGGAGGGGGACTGGGTTTTACCCTGGGTGACCCACCCTCCTAGTGCTTTGGATGAAATCCCAGCGGAGACAGGTGGGCCACCCACCTCCCCAGCGCCCCTGCGGCGGCGGGCACTGTCTGGGGGTTGCAAAGCGACCGAGTCCAGGAGCCAGAGACCCTCCTTGGGTGGGTGGGTGGATGGTCCCGGTGTGTGTGTGTGTGTGTGTGTGTGTGTGTGTGTGTGTGTGCGCGGGGTTGCAAAGCGACCGAGTCCAGGAGGCCAGAGACCCTCCTTGGGTGGGGGGGTGGGTGGGTGGTCCCGGGGTGTGTGTGTGTGTGTGTGTGTGTGTGTGTGTGCGGGGTTGCAAAGCGACCGAGTCCAGGAGCCAGAGGACCCTCCTTGGGTGGGTGGTCCCGGGGTGTGTGTGTGTGTGGTGTGCGCGGGGTTGCAAAGCGACCGAGTCCAGGAGCCAGAGACCCTCCTCGGGTGGGTGGGTGGTCCCGGGGTGTGTGTGTGTGTGTGTGGGGTTGCAAAGCGACCGAGTCCAGGAGCCAGAGACCCTCCTCGGTGGGTGGGTGGGTGGGTGGTCCCGGTGTGTGTGTGTGTGTGCGCGCGGGGTTGCAAAGCGAGCGAGTCCAGGAGCCAGAGACCCTCCTCGGGTGGGTGGGTGGTCCCCGGGGTGTGTGTGTGTGCGCGCGCGGGGGTTGCAAAGCGACCGAGTCCAGGGAGCCAGAGACCCTCCTCGGGTGGGTGGTCCCGGTGTGGGGGTGGGGGGGCAGGTAGGCGTGTGCGCCTCGGACACGGCCTCTCCGGGCCCCGCGGCCGAGCGAGCCGGGGGGAGGAAGAGTCCCGGCGGGCGGCCAGCCCTGGGGGCGGGCGGGGGTGGACGGTGGACGGTGGACGGCGGGCGCGGGCGGGCGGGCGGGCGCGCGCGGGGCGCGGCGGCGGCGCGTGCGCGGGCGCGGCGGGGGCGCGCGCGGGGGGCGCGGGCCGAGCGGCGGCGGCGGCGGCGGCGGCGGCGGCGGCGGTCAGCGCGTCCGTCCCGTGCCGGTGCCCGGCAGCCGCCGCCGCCGCCGCTCGCAACATGGCGGACCTGGAGGCCGTGCTGGCCGATGTCAGCTACCTGATGGCCATGGAGAAGAGCAAGGCCACGCCGGCCGCGCGCGCCAGCAAGAAGATCGTCCTGCCCGAGCCCAGGTACCGGCCCGCGCCGTCGGCGCCCGACCGCGCGCGCACCCGCACCCGCACCCACGCGCGGCCGGACCCCGCCGCCCACCCGCCGCCCACCCGCCGCCCGCTCTCGCCCCCGGCTGGAGCCGCCCGAGCCCCGCGCGGGGGACCCGGGGGGATGCTGGTGCGCGGGGACCGGCCGGCCCGCTCCGTGCGCGCCGCGACCGTCTCCCCGGGGGTCCTTGTCCCCCCGCCCCCCACCCCACCCCACGCCCCCGATCCCCCGGGGGGTCTCCCTCGATCCGGTCCCCCCTTCCCCCACTCGCCCCCCCAGCTCTGGGCTCTCTGCCCCCTTGCAGCCCCCGCCCCGTGGTGGTGGTGGGGGGTGGGGGTCCCCACTCCCCGCTCCAGCCCGAGTGAGTTTTGGCTGCTGCCCCTTCGCAGCTCCATCCTCTCGCCCGCCCCGGGTGCCAGGGACTCAGAAAACTGCCTTTCCAAGTGCTCCTTCGCGCTGTCCCATCACCCCAGCCCGGCCAGCTTCCTGCCGCCGGTCCCGCTTGCTTTCTTCCTTTCCTCCCGGTCCCGCGGGATCTTGGACCACCCACCCAGGTTTTCAGTTTGGGGCTATTCGCCGGCTCCCCTCCACTTGCTGCTCTGCTGGAAGCACTTGCTGGGGACGAGGTGGAAACCGGAGTCGCTCTCGCTCGGCTCCCTCCGAAGCTGCCTGCTGCGAGGGATGTCCTGAGGGATGTTGCGGGGACTCCACAAGGGATGTTAGGGATGTTGCGGGGACTCCGCAAGGGAATGGTACAGCCCCAGGATGGGCCTGGGCTGAGTTAACAAGGGGGCTTATCTCCGGCCAGGCCAAGTTGGAATCTGTTGGTGGTGGTGTTGTTGTTTGGGGGCTGCGCCTGGTGGTGCTCAGGGCTGACTCCTGGCTCAGAGCTCCGGGATCACATCACTCCGGCTGGGAGGGCCGGAGCGACCTTAGGAGCTGCTGGGGATGGTACCCAGGTCAGCCCGTGCCAGACAGGAACCCTACCCGCCCCACCATCACTCTGCTCCCATGGTTTCCTCTTGACAAATGAGTCAAGAGAAGATTCTGGCCCCTCTTATTCGGAGGTTCCCGGGAAAGGCATTCGTGGGATTAATAGTGACTTTCAAGAAGTCTATCAAAGCAGGTTGGGGTTTTAAGTTTGTGGCCCGTCTTTCAGTTCTAAGTACCACCACCATGGGGTTATAGAGGAAGGCTTGGCTCTCGGATGCCAGCCAGCTCAGAGATGGCATCTTTGACACACACAAAAAATGAGGGTGTCTTTGGCGCCCTTCCGTTGTGTCGAATACTGGAAGCTATCGGGATTCTGTCCTCGGTGTGCACGTCCTTCTTCCATCCCTGCACACAGGCAAGAGGTTACCTTGATGGAAGGGAAAGGAAACCGTTGCTACTGAGGGATTGTTCCTTCAGGCCTGTTCACCAGCCCCACACTATGGAACCCTTCAGTCCCCCCCGGGAGTTATTGGTGGCGAGCGTCTGGGTTATGTTAGAAGAGTCCTGTTTGCTAGGTGTTTAGTTGACTTTCTGACCCCTTTTTAGCCCGGGCAACGTGTTGGTTCCACAGGGGCGTGCTCTCAGATTAGCAATGCCAAGTGGCGAAAACCAGGGAAGAGGGCAGCCTTGGGAGTCTGTGAGATGAGCCTGTCATCTCTGAAGGTCACGGAAGAGCAAGCGCTTTTCAAAACTAGAATAGGAAGCGAGAGATATCCCCCCTCCCCCAAGACAGCCCCCCATATTGAACTCGAATTTCATTTTTCAAAAGATGGAATTTCTATATCTCTGGTCATAAAATGCTTAATTCCTTGAAGTCCTACCTTCCTCTTCTTTCTAATGGGCTGGGAGCCCCTCAATAGAGTCCCCTTTCGTAATACCAAGAGATCTCAATTCATACGCTTTGTGGGGAGGTGGAATATAGGATCTATATATTCTCATATGTAGATTATATACGCTATCATCTAAGTCGCGTTTTTAGAATTTGCTATTACTAAAATTAGGAACTTCTGTTCTTTTATTTTTTTTTCCTCCTTGGTGTTTTGAACTTTAAGTGACTTCTGCTTTTTTGGTAACCCTCTTAACATGCTGTGTGCTTGGGGTAGTCACTTCCTTGTAGGAATGCCTTTGTTTTTTTGCTGGTGTTCTCTGGTGATGCCTTCTTTTAGGGCAGAACTGGTGACTGCCAACCCATTTCTCATGGCACTTTAGAATTGAGAAATATCAACAGGAGAGTAATTTTAGGAAATGACTCTTTGGTAATTGTTACTCTGTTGCTATTTTTTAAATAGACTCTTGAGTGAGGCCATTGAAAGCTCCAGGGATTTTAATCTGTTTTGTTATCTCTCCCAAAGGCTGTGCCTTAAATTTTGTAATGTGCCGGGTTTACAGTGTAACGGACACACCAGGTGTCCTAACCCTGTTATCATGGAGATTATCACGATCCCCTCCCCTCAAAAAAATCTTGAAATTTTTCTGAACCTCTGGAAGAATGTCCTACTTGCTTGATTTTAGGGAAGGGGTGGCAGGCTGGGGGAGGGGGGCAGTGGATTCTAGAGATTTGGTGAGTTAATTCCCTTTTCACAGGCCCCACAGAACAGCGAACATATTTTCACTGTTAACGGTTAAGGGTACCAGCCAAATGTTTTGTGATAAGAGTTTTATTTCAGCTTCATTTCGGAGCAAACCATGTGATCGCCAGTCGTTTCTATCCTGCAGGAAGATGTTTAGATTTATATGTTTAGTATCTAAATAAGAAGCGTGCAACTTGCCTGTGGCCTGACTCTCCTTCCTCTTTATTTTCAGCGACTTAGTTGGAGTCTCTGTGCCTCTTTATTTTAGCAACTTTGCCTTTTCCATCTTTTTTTTTTTTTTAAGCAGAAAAGCAATGGAACTGAATGATATCTAGCGAATCCACTGCAACGTCTGGGTATGCTGTCCCTTGCCTATTATGGGAGCATCTCAGAAAATGGAACATTCTGCCTGGGGGAGATTTTGCTTCTCCTGAGATAGCAAGAGGCAACCGTTTCGTTCTGTTGACACATTATTCAATTAATGAACCAATGAGCGTAAATCCGATAAAAGCCGGCTGTTTGTTCAAATTATATCACTGCTTCAGTTTGCCAAAACATTTGTTGAGCTAATGTGGCTGGTAATGGGATCTGCTGGGAATAATAGTAGCCTAAGAACCCCCCCTTCAGCCCCCCACTCCCGCTTCCCCCTCCACCCCCATTGACTGCATCAGAGCCCCAGGGGCCAGTGGGCACAGCTCAGGGGGGGAGAGGACATGTCCAGCCTGGGTGATGCCCTGAGTTCGAACCCCAGCACCAAATTCGAAAGAGAGAGGGGGAGTCTCAAAGAAGAGAAAATGGAATTGACTCGAACTAAGTGACAGTTGCCACAGCAGAGAATCCACCCGATTTAAATAAGGAAGTTGACATGAAAATAATAATAATAACAATAGCAACAACAAAGGGGCTGGAGCGATAGTACAGTGGGTGGGGCACTTGCCTTACACGCAGCTGACTCAGGTTCAGCCCCTGGCATCCCAGATGATCCCTTGAGCCCACCAGGAGTGATTCCTGAGTGCACAGCCAGGAGTTAACCCCAGAGCACCACCAGTTAGGGCCCCCAACTCCACCCAAATCAATCAATCAATAAGAATAAAGGGCCAGGGAGATAGCCCAAGAGGCTAGAGCACCGACTGGACATGCAGGAGTCCCAGGTTTGTCATCACAAGGTCCCCTGAGCACTGAGTCAGGAGTAGCCTCTGAGCACCACTGTTTTGACCCTCTTCCCCAAACAAACAAACACATAAAGAGCCCAGGCCACAGGAACCTACAGGCTGTGCTGGCGAGTTAGTTGTTCTGTGCCGTGTTCGCAAGGAAAGGCTTGCTGAGCCCCAGGATATGGCTCGAGGGGCCGCCCGTGGGCCTCGCATGTCCAGGGCCACCCTGGCTTCCGTTCCTGAGCTCTGCCTGCTCCCTGGCCCCGGCTCTCTGTTGCATGTGGCCCCCTCTCCAATGGGAAAATAAGAAATGCTTTTGTCTAATGTGGCTGAATTCATAGGCTCAGGTCTGCACGACAGTGTTTATACTTTGGCATCTAATAATATTCAATTGACTTGTCATCTCTTGTAGATTGAGGCTGAGGGCCACGAACGTGTCTCTGTCTTCCCTCCTCTCTGCCTATTGGGCACTGAAAATTTTGGATCACGATTCACAATGTATGGCCTTTCAGAGTTTTCATATAATATGAGAGGAGGTTGGAAAGCAACATTTTTGAGATTTTTGATAATGCTCCAGGAGCACTTAGACGGTCCTGATGGGGCATTTGTTCAGGGCATGGCATAGAGCCATATCTATAAGCTTGGAGATGCAGTGACAGGCCCAGTCACAGTCCTGCCTATGGGCCCACCGTCCATAACACACACGTGTACTCAGGGCTTTCGCCAGGGAAGATGTCTTCAGTAAAGAGCAGTTACCTGAAGGACCCACGTAATATACCTAGAAGCCGCATTTCGGGTGGCATTTCTTTGTTTCCTATTCCAGAGAACACGTCTGCTGAGTTGGTTTCCAGTAACTCAGGCCCTCAGAAGAGCTGTCTAACCAAGATCCGTTTAGCAGGGGGGGAGTTTGCCTCTTTGTATTTGTAAAACTCCTGGATGTAATTGATTCAGCCAACTCAGTTTTCTTCTCTGGTGGAAATAGAGTTGATTTAGCAATATCTCTCCGATTTCCTTCCAATAAGTGAGTGGTTGGTCGGTAAATATTCCTTTCTGGGGCCCAGGTGACAGTACAGCTGGTTGGGTATTATTTACCTTACTTGGGGCTGACCTGAATTAGATCTTCAGCATCTCGTAAAGTCCCTTGAGCGCCGCCAGCAGTGATTTCTGAGTGCAGAGCCAGGAGTAACCCCTGCATCTCCAGGGGTAGCCCCCCAAGCAAACAGAAATAGTTTTCTCTGTTTAGGAGGGGGTCAT